GCATTACCTAGTGAAGTTAAAGATGTAGTACTCTGGCTCGGTGCCTATAGCTCAACCGGCTAAGGCGCCAGCCACATACACCTAAGGTGGTGGGTTCGAATCCCCAGCCCGGACCCACCAAACAACAATGATGGCTGCAACCAAAAAATAGCCAGGCATTGTGGCGGGCACCTGTGGTCCCAGCTACTTGGGAGGCGGAGGCAGGAGACTCGCTTGAGCCCAGGAGTTGGAGGTTGCTGTGAGCTGTAATGCCATGGCACTCTGCCCAGGGGGACAGCTTGAGGCTCTGTCTCAAAAAAAAAAAAAAAGATGTAGTACCCTGTTAGTCCTATGAATCCTTTCAATTATTTATAGATTCATATTCAGCAAATATTTGCTATCTGAGGCCAAATAGTGTTCTGTGTGCTTGAGATCAGAGTGAAACAGCTAACAATAGATAGAGAGGTGACTAGTGCTATGGGAAAATGTTACTTACAAGAATAAAAACAGAGTTTAATATTGGGCCTACTTATGGATTTTTACTTTTATGGATGTAAGGTCTACCAGTATTACATACTATTTGTTGTATCAGTGCCACTCAATTCTTTGAATTCTATTAGAGTTATTTACCAGAAATCTCCTCACAATCCATCATCAAAATTTATTTTGAGACAGAGCCTCAAGCCCTGGTTAGAGTACCATGACGTCACAGCTCACAGCAACCTCCAACTCCTGGGCTCAAGTGATTCTCCTGCCTCCACCTCCCAAGTAGCTGGGACTATAGGCAGCCGTCATTGTTGTTTGGCAGGCCTGGGCTAGATTTGAACCAGCCAGCCCAGGTGTATGTGGCTGGCAGCTTAGCCACTTGAGCCACAGGCGCTGAGCCTATGTCCTTTTTCTATTCAATGAATATACAGTTTGTAAACCATGTGATTGATTTATGAAATGATTTGTTGGTCATAAACTCTAAATTTCTAAGGTGTATACCCGAAAGCCTTTACCAAATATGATTTTTCAAATGACTAGATCATATCTATATTTTACTTAAAGGCATTTTGTTTATGGAGCCAAAATTAAACAAGATTGGTCATAAATTGGACCACTGTATTTTTAGACTTTTCCATGAGCTATTAAAAGAATAGCTTGCCTCTGTATTGGAGGCAAGCCTAAAGGGTATATAGAGAAAGAGTACACTTTAAAATTATTTTAGGTAGTAAGGACAAATAATAGAAATTTCATGATTGAAGATGTGCTTCAAATTATGTTTTGTTTTGTTTTTGAGACAAGAGTCTCATTTTGTCACCCTCAGTAGAGTGATATGGCATCATAGCTCACAGCAACCTCAAACTCTCAGGCTCAAGCGATTCTCTTGCCTCAGCCTCCCAAGTAGCTAGGACTACAGTTGCCCACCACAAAACCCTGGCTCAGACTAGGCTGGTCTCGAACTTGTGAGTTCAGGCAGTCCACCTGCTTCAGGCAACCCCTTCATTCCTTTGTATAGCTGAACAATAGTCTGGTATAGATATAAAGTATTTTGTTTAGCCATTAATCTGTTGACGAACATTTGGGCTGTGTTTGATTTGTAGTTATTGTAAAAAATGCCTCTGTGGACATTCATGTATGATGATCTGCCTGCCTCAGCCTCCCAGAGTGCTGGAAGCCACCTCACCTGGCCTAGACATAACTTTTAGTTTCTCTGAGATATATACCTGGGAATAGAATTATTAGGTCATGTGGTACCTAAGTGTTTAACAAGTTATCCACAGCGGTGTCACCACTTAGCATTTCTACCAGTATTATATGAGAGTTCTAATTTTCTCTGCACCCTTGCTTTATTATAATTTATAAAAATTCATTTACAAACCTTTGAATCCTTAACCATATGCAAGGTACCATGATAGATACATGCTACATATGTATTAAAGAATGGCAAGGCAGCATACTTAGACAAGACAAGACAGCTGACCTTGGGCGGTGCCCGTAGCTCAGTGGGTCAGGCACCAGCCACATACACCCAGGCTGGTGAGTTCGAACCTGGCCTGGGCCAGCTAAACAACAATGACGACTGCAACAACAAATAGCTGGGCATTGTGGTGGGCACCTGCAGCCCCAGCTACTTGAGAGGCTAAGGCAAGAGAACTGCTTGAGCCCAAGAGTTTGAGGTTCCTGTGAGCTGTGACAGCATGGCACTCTACAGAGGGCTACATAGTGAGACTGTCTAAAAAAAAAAGAAAAAAAAAAAAGATGATTGGCCTCTCCTGGGAGCTAAGAAAAAGGTATCTTGGAAGATGTTAGTGTTAGTGTCCTATAAGGCACTCTTGACACTTCAGAGGAGATTATTTCCAGATAGAGAATTTGAGACTTCTTTAGGCTGGCTTCTTGTGGGCAAAAGGCATCACTAAAGAAATTTAGTTTAAAATTTTCAGAGCAAAAACAGTTTCATCCCCCACAAAAAGTGACTATTAAGAGAAGATAAAACAAAATGCCCATAATTCCACCTTCCTAATAAAACCATTATTGACGTTTTGACATGTTTCCTTTTCATCTTTTTGCTTCCAGAACAGAAATTTCTTTTATCTGTCTTCTTTCACATCCTCCTGTTTATCGTGTATCTCCTCCCCTACCACACATTCTTCACGTGTCTGCCCTCTTGCATAACTTTACACTTTAGGTAGTATTGGGGTATATTTAAGGTAGTGGGTAAGTAGTTGCTATGGAATATGTAGTAGCCACAGAATTGTTATAACAGTAGCAAAGTATTGCCAGTTAATATTTATTCTGCACTGGGAGGCCCAGGTGGGTTGATTGCTTGAAAGCTCATGAGTTGGAGGCCAAGCAAAAGCAAGACCCCATCTCTACTAAAAATAGAAAAACTGAGGCAAGAGGATCCCTTGAGCCAAAGTTGGAGGTTGCTGTAAGCAATAACGCTACAGCACTCTACCCAGGGTGACAGCTTGAGACTCTTGTCTCAAAAAAAAAAAAAATTTTATTCTGTAATCATTGCCTCAGTTGGGACTCTGCTACAGAAATTTGAGATTGAGTATGCAAAAATGTGAAATGGTTATTGTGTCAATTGGAAAACTTGAATGTGCTTAGTGGTGCGTGAAAAGGGGAAATTGTTTATGTTAAAAATTGAGGCATTGTTCCTGTTTGATCCCACAATAGGTGATTTATCTCCCTGCCTTGAACTTTAGGTTCTCTGTGGTTTCAACTAACATTCTTACGGCGTAAAGTATGCAACAAACAATTACATCTTTTCCTTAAGGAGCCTTGATTTGATTGATACTTTTCTGGAAGAACTTATTTTATTTATTTTTTTTATTGAGACAGTCTCACTTTGTCACCCTTGGTAGAGTACCATGGAGTCACAGCTCACAGCAACTTTCAGACTCTTGGATTCAAACGATTCTCTTGCCTCTGCCTCCCAAGTAGCTGGGACCACAGGTGCTCACCACAACGCCCGGCTACTTTTTTGTTTGTTTGTTTGTTTGTTTGTTTAGTGGGCCTGGGCCGGGTTTGAACCCAGTTCAAAACCATCAGCCCCAAAGCATGTGGCCAGCACCCTAACCACTGAGCTATAGGCACCTCTGGAAGAACTTATTATAAGGACAGTATCATCTTACATCTATTACCTGGAGTTATAGGTATAAGCCTATGTAAAAACAACTATGAATTCTACTAAAGAAATGATATTTATTTCCTATATCAGTGAATGATAGAATCATCATCTTATTATACATGCTGGAGCTGGCTTCTTTTAATTTATTATTTTATTTATTTATTTATGTATTTACTTATTTTAGAGACAGAGTCTTACTTTGTCACCCTTGGTAGAGTGCTGTGGAGTCACAGGTCACAGCAACCTTCAGCTCTTGGGCTTAGACAATTCTCTTGCCTCAGCCTCCCCAGTAGCTGGGACTACCGGCGCCTACTGTAAGGTGACCCAGACGTCCCGCTTTTGGCAGGACAGTCCCGATTTTTAACAATTTGTCCCGCATCCTGCAGCATTTTACAAAAGGCCCGATTTTTGGAAAGAGTGCACAAACGGGTGGGAGAACAGTAAGGGAATATACGGTTTTCGGCTGCCATGTGGCTATTTCGCCAGGATATGAGTTTTATATTATTTTTGTTAATTTTATAATGTTAAACTGTAATAATAACAAATAATTGTTGAGAAGTGATTATTGAGAACTGCTTATCAAAGTTTGCATTGTTGTCAGGTCCCTCCCTGCCTTGCCCCCTGCCCCACCCCTCACCCTGCCCCCCATCAATGTTGTCCCGCTTTATGAATGTTAAAATCTGGTTGGTCACCTTAGCCTACTGCAATGTCCAGCTATTTTTTGGTTGTAGTTGTCATTTGACAGGCCCAGGCTACATCTGAACCTGCTAGCTCCGGTGTATGTGGCTGGTGCCCTAGCCGCTGAGCCTAGTCTCTGTTGTTTTTGTTTTTTGTTTTTAAAAACTCCATGGGCAGCGCCTGTGGCTCAGCAGGTAGGGTGCCAGCCCCGTATACTGCGGGTGGTGGGTTCAAACCTGGCCCCGGCCAAACTGCAACAAAAAATAGCTGGGTATTGTGGTGGGCACCTGTAGACCCAGCTACTTGGGAAGCCGAGTCAAGAGAATTGCTTAAGCCCTAGAGTTTGAGGTTGCTGTGAGCTGTGACACCATAGCACTGTACCCAGGGCGACATAGTGAGACTCTGTCTCAAAAAAAAAAAAAAAAAACCTCCATTAGAGTGATCTTTCTGAAATCCTTAGATTTATTGTTACAGGTGGTGATATTTTAAATTAGTATCTAAATTAGACTTTAGAAACGAACCCCAGTCATTTTGTTACAGGTGGTGATACGTTAAATTAGTATCTAAATTGGACTTAAGGGTATCAAATTGGACTTAAGGGTATCGATGCTGAGTACCTTGATTTGATTGATCATTTGACTGTGTCTCATTTTAGCAGTTATATTTAACAATTTTTACTTCTTTTGATTGATTCATTGTGCTATTTTTCTGTTTTCATTTACAGGGTCAAAGATGTGTGTGGCCTTTTAAATGATTGAGTGAAGATGGAAATGGATTCAAATTAATACATGACTTCTCTATCAAAGCAATAGAAGATTCTTTACATCACCTTCAGTAGCTCAATTCAGTTTTGAGAAGGAGCAGAACAAGTGAAATTTGAAGAGAAAAGAAAGAAGAAATTTGAAGAAAATTGAAGAGAAGAAAACCTCATTTGGAACTGTCTTTCTCTTTGACTACTACGTACCCCCTGTCTTTCTGCTTATTTTACCTTTGCTCTGAATTTATAAATAAAGACCAAAGAAATAGAATATACATTTAGGAGCTTTATACCAAGAAATTTGCTTTGAAAGCTGCTGTTCCATGGTGGGAAAAGTATAACAAGTTCTTACCTGATTTTTTCCTTTTTCAGACGAGATTTCTAATGTCCTTAGATTTTGTAGGATAAGACAAATATAAATACATATGTGCACATTATTTTTAGCAGTTGTGTACATAAGAATAAGGAGATTTGTATTTTAGGGCTTTGTCATGTGGGTGTTTTACCACTGAAGTTAATTCCTCACAGTATCTTTTATAGTAGGACTTTAATATTGTTGATCTATCATCTTGATGACATTACTTGCCCACACTTGAGCCCACCTGTCTTTCTAGCTATGACCTTGTTATGAGCAGCATTTGGACTCACTGTGCAAATGTCCATGTATCACCTAATTAAGCATCATCATAGTGCCATAACTCAAGGAAGTTGAATGAGGTGAATGTAGACATAGCTCTTTCCCCTTCCCCCCCTTTTTTAAATGTAACAAATCCTTTTTATGTTCCCCTTCCCCTTTCCCCCTTCCCCTTTTCCCCTTTTGGAAACGTGTTAGTAGTTTAAGACGAGTGATTGAGGGCCTGAGAAAGCAAACCACACAGAGGCTGGCTTCTTTGTGTTTCATCTTAAGCTGTGCTGCTGGCTAGGTTACTTTAAGCACACGTTTAACAAGGAAACCTCGTGGAAAATCCAGCTGGCAGACTCAAGTTCAGGAAGCAGGACCACAGAGGTTATACTCTGGGGTAAATATTTTCTATATGTCTAACTTTCTTTTTTTTTTTTTTTTTTTTTTTTTGAGACAGAGCCTCAAGCTGTCCCCCTGGGTAGAGTGCAGTGGCATTATGGCTCACAGCAACCTCCAACTCCTGGGCTCTAGCGAGTCTCCTGCCTCCGCCTCCCAAGTAGCTGGGACCACAGGCGCCCGCCACAACGCCCGGCTATTTTTTGGTTGCAGCCATTATTGTTGTTTGGCGGGTCCGGGCTGGGGATTCGAACCCGCCACCTTAGGTGTATGTGGCTGACGCCTTAGCCGGTTGAGCTATAGGCGTCGAGCCTATATGTCTAACTTTCAAAGGAAACTCTATATATATGTGTCATGAAAAATGCACTTGCTTTCTGATGTATTTAATTTTGGAAAATATCAGTGAGTGGTTTGAAGGTATCCACAGATCTCAGGAAAACTGAGATACTAATTATTATTTGAAGAAAGTAATGTGAACTACATACAAAAGATCTTGACAGGTTATATCTTCTTTCTCTAGGAAGACCTTTACTGCTTTTGCTAGAAGTTACCTGAGTACTTGAAGCAGCTTAATCTCTTTTTATAAGTATCTGTAGTTTTAAGTCAGTGTTTATTCTTCAAGTTCTTATGATGTAACTTAAGACTCATTAGCTTCTTTCATGAGACCTTCCAGATTCATGTTACGTTTTTCTGTTTGTGTTTGTCATAGTCATGTATTCACAGACTATTGCTATTGTTTAGAACTTCTCTGAGATACGGAGAGTGGTAAGTAGTCTATAGAGAGGCTCAGAGGGCAGATCTTTCTGTAAAGAGGGATTTTAGGGTAATCACAGATTCTTCTTTTTTTTGTTGTTTTTTTGGGGGAGTTTTCGGCCAGGGCTGGGCTTGAACCCGTCACCCCTGGTATATGGGACCGGCATTCTATTTCTTGAGCCATAGCCACCGCTCCCAATCACAGATTCTTTTTACACATTGATACCAGATTCTTGCAGGCTGGAGTAATTTTAGTTTTCTTATTTTCAGATCCTGGACATGAGGTTGGATGCCTCACCTTATTGAAAAAGAGACACTGGACCTAAATGGCGCAGCATGATTTTGTTCCTGCTTGGCTAAATTTCTCAACACCACAGTCAGCTAAGGTACTATTTTCTATTCTTACCCAAATACCAGTTTTTTCATCCCTAGCTGGTCTGTTTTATGCTCTGGATTTTTAATATATTCAGCCTTACCTGAGGATTTCAAAAATGTTTTCACAGATTGGTTAGCATTCTGTTTATAGGATATAACTAATTATATAGTCCACATCAGTGTGTACTTTTATTTTTTTATTTTTTAAAGATGAGTCTCACTATGTCACCCTCAATAGAGTTCCATGGTATCACAGCTCCGAGCAACCTCAAACTCTTGGGCTTAAGAGATTCTCTTGCCTCAGCCTCCCAAGTAGCTAGGACTACAGGCACCCGCCACACTAGTTGTCGTTGTTGTTTGACCAAACAACAAAGGCTGGATTCCAACCCACCAGCTCCAGTGTATGTGGTTGGCGCCCTAGCCGCTTGAGCTATAGACACCAAGCCCAGAAAAACACTTTTAAGAGTATACAGATCTTTTAATATACAAAGAATAATTGTTTTAGCACATGAACTAAGTAAAAAGAATTAGAAGACATTATTTCAATGTTTTCAATAAGGCTACAATAAGAAAAGTTATATGCTTTGGGCATAAGGATAGATAGGAATGGAAAAAAAATTTTTTTTTAATAGTCCTATATGTGTAGTCAGTTGATTTTTGACTAAAGTACCAAGGTAAGTCAATGAGGTTGTGATGGTTTTTGTTTTGATGCAAATAGTGCTAGAACAACTGGGGGTATCTGTATAGGTTGAGGGATTAAAGAACCTCAACCTTAATATAATACATAAGAATGAACTTGAAATGAATCATAACCTAAATTACAAAGCTTAAACCATAAATCTTTTAGAAGAAAATATTGGAAATCTTTGTACCTCATAGAATGGATAAAATAAAAAAGACTGACATGACAATACCAACTGTTGGTAAGAATGTTGATATTCATTGGGAATTACATAAAAATATCTATACCCAAATCTATACTTTTCCTATGAAACATATCCGTACTTTTCATGACTTTATAGACTTTGGTCTATATCATTTAAGAATACCACAGGATAGGGTGGTGCCCATAGCTCAGTGGGTAGGGCATCACCCACATACACCGAGGCTGGTGGATTCTTACCCAGCCCGGGGCAGCTAAAACAACAATGACAACTGCGACAAAAAAGTAGCTAGGGGTTGTGGCAAGTGCCTATAGTCCCAGCTACTTGGGAGACTGAGGCAAGAGAATTGCTTGAGCCCACGAGTTTGAGGTTGCTATGAGTTGTGATGCCATGGCACTCTACCTAGGGTGACAGCTTGAGACTCTGTCTCAAAAAAAAAAAAAAATACCGTAGGATAAAATTCTTTGGAATGCAAAGAACCCACCACCCTCAATATGTGGGGCCAGCGGCCTACTGGCTGAGAGCCACAGGTGCCGCCCAGTTTTTTCTTATTTTTGATAGAGAGAGCGTCTTGGTCTTACTTGGGTTGGTTTCAAATTCCTGAGCTCAAGCAATCCTCCTGCCTCTGCCTCCATCAGTGCTAGGATTACAAGTGTGAGCTACTGCACCCTACCTGTTGGATTTGCTTTTGTAGATATTTACAGGAGTTTGGGTTTTTTTTTCCTTCCTTTTTTTTTTTTTCGTGTAAACAATTGAAGTTTAGGCCCACACCTCTAATTCTACCACTCTGGGTGGCTGAGGTGGGAAGATCAGATGAGATCAGGAGTTCCAGACCAACCAGAGCAAAGGCAGACCCTGTCTATCCTAAAAATAGAAAAATTAGCCCAGTGTGGTTGCATGTGCCTGTAGTCCCAATGGCTTGGAAGGCTGAAGGAGGAGGATCAGTTGAACCTAGAAGTTTGAGGTTTCTATGAACTGGGCTGCCACCATAGCACTCTAGCCTGGGCAGCAGAATGAGACTGTCTCCCTCGCCCTAAAAAATTCAAAATGGCTGCCTTTTCTTGCCATCTGTGATAATGAAGTTAATTAATGTTTGTGTGTATAACCTAAGACTACTCTAAAATAATACAAAAGACCTGGAATAGGTAAAATAAAGACTCAAATCCCTTATGGTAGATATGCTCATACTTGGAGCTTCTTTTCTTTCTTTTTTTTTTTTTTTTTTTTTTTGAGGGGCAGAGTCTCACTTTGTCACTCTCTCGTGGCGTCACACAACTTAAAGCAACCTCCCAACTTCTGGGCTCAGGCGATTCTCTTGCCTCAGCCTCCCTAGTAGCTGGGACTACAGGCACCCACCACAGTGTCCAGCTATTTTTTTGTTGTAGTTTGACTGGAGCCGGCTTTGAACCCGCCACCCTCGGTATTTGGGGCCAGCGCCCTACCCACTGATCCACAGGTGCAACCCAATACTTGGAGTTTCTTTTTTTTGTTTTTTTTTTT